AAACGAAAACGAAACGAAAACGAAAAACGAAAAAAAGAAAAAAAAAAAAAAGAAAGAGAGAGAATAGAGAGAGAGAGAGAGGAGCCCAAGAGCAAGGTAAACCGAACAAGCCAGCCAAGCCACGGCCAAAAGTAATCGGACCTGGTCTTGCAACGCCGCTCTTCTGGCCGCCCGCCAACAAGGCCTTGTCATCTTCCAAACCACCATCACCGCCTCCCCTCCCCCTCCGCATTCGGCCCAAGTTTCTCCTCCTCCTGCTCTTCGCCAACAGCTATATCTGCCGAACCAGTGCGATCCGCCAACGCAGCTTCATTTGCTGCTTTGATTGCCTTTCAACACTTGTTCATACTGCTCGGCGCGCTGCATGGACGGATCCTCTGTCGTTCGCGGGGGATCCGCCGCTCAGAGCCCGACAAGCCCGGCCAGCTCCCGACACGGCAACGGCGGCCCCAAGCGCAAGAGAAGCACAGGAGTGCCCGCCCACCTCGAGAGCAGCCCAGGCAGCGGCAACGAGGATGAGCTTGGCGATCCCGACAAGAAGCGCCAGCCCGGCGTCAAGCGAGCCTGCAACGAGTGTCGCCAGCAAAAGGTGAGTCAGCCCTCTCGATGCTTCTTGTACCCTCCCGCTCTCTCCCCGTTGCCCCAATCCTCTGCTGCCACCCGCCTCGTCGGCCGCCACCGCCGCCGCCGCTGCGCATCAATTGTCTTGCACGCTTGCTGACTTGTGCCAATCGCATTTAGCTCCGCTGCAATGTCGTACAGGACCCCTTCCAGAGCTGCTCTCGCTGCATCCGCCTCAAGCTCGAATGCAAGATCGAGTCCAACTTCAAGCGCGTAGGCAAGCGCTCCAAGCATGCCGAGATGGAAAAGGAAATTGATCGACTCCGACGGAACTTGAATCGTGCCCAAGCCCAAGGATACTCAATGGACGACGGCGACGAAGTTGCCTCGCCTGCTACCACCACTCCAAATTATAATCATACCCGCCATCCCTCTCTCATCTCCGACGAAGCTGTCAATTCCCTTCTTCATCTCAAGCGCGGAGGTGGCAGCTACGGCTTGCCGCATTACTCCCATGAGCTCGAGACCGTCCGCTTAACTGACGAGCACGTCACACACCTCTTCAACGAGTTCTTCGCCTTCTACCACCCCTTCCTCCCATTCTTGAATCCTGCCCAGCCTCCCGACCAGTACTTCCAATACCACCCACTCTTATTCTGGTCCATCATTGCTGTCGCTGCCCGACGATTTAGCCCAGAAGGCTCCCCGGATCTGATCAAGAATCTGTCTGACCCATTGACTCGATTCCTATGGACCACCATCGGCGAGGTCCCGAGCAACTATCATGTTGTAAAGGCAATGTGTTTATTGTGCGCATGGCCTCTGCCCACCAGCACCACGTCTTCAGATCCTACTCACATCCTGTGCGGTGTCATGATGAAGACGGCCACTGGCATTGGCCTACACCGTCCAAACAATATCCAAGACTTTTCTCGAACCTCGGTCGAGCTCAACAGGGAACAACTATCAGATCGTGTCACAACCTGGGCCGTCTGCAACATTGTCGCCCAAAATGTCGGCACGGGCTACGGCCAACCCGCCTCGACTCTCTACGACTGGACCTTGGCTTTGCGCCCCGGAGACGACGCCGCCTTTCGCTTGACCCCCGAACTCGAAGCCCGCTTACAGATTGAGCGTTTCTGCGACAAGGTGTCCAAGGAAATGTACAGCAATGCGAGTGATCCTAGAGGCGTTGCAGGTGACGAGCATCGCGCCATGTTGATGCGCGTCTACCGTCGAGACTACGCCGAGCTTCATGCCTCGGTCATGTCTCAGAATCTCGGTCCCATTGTTGGCCTTCATTTGCGAGCAGCTGGACTGCACATGCGATTGGCCGGTTTCTTCGACTCGAGCAAAACTCCAGGCTACATGGACGACCTCGTAGGCCTCTGGCGCGCGACGACCAGCTTCCTTGATGAACTTTTGGAAGCTGACAAGGTTACGTCGCCGCGCGATAATTTCCACGGTACATTTCTTCTCTACGCGACCAATTTCATCCAACAAATGCTGGTCGCTGCCGCTTTTACTGTTCTCAAGCTCATGCGATCATTCTTCGCCAAGACGATTGATTTCCATCGTGGCCGCCACCTTTTCCATCTTTCTATTCGTGCCATCCGACAGACCAGCGTTGTCAACAATGATCTCCAATGGCGTTTGGCCGAACTAATGGTACAGATGTGGAATGGTGCGCGCTTGGACAGCAGTAACCCGGCTTTCAACCGCGAGGACGAGACACCGATTCAGATGGACGATAGCCTGCAGCTCAAGGTCCGTTGCCGTCACAGTATGAGTCTGGTTTTCGACTCTGTCTGGAGATGGCGAGAGGAATACCAAGCAAATGGGCGCGGCTCCTTGGAGGGTGGTAAGTTTTCAGGTCTTCAGGCTCAGCTAGGCGAGTCACTTGTCCCCCAAATCGTACTTTTGATCTCAGCTAACCGGCATGCTTCTACAGCCGCCATGAAGAACCCGACCAACCCAGATTCCGCCAACGAGTCCTCGGCCACCTCTTCTCAGCTCGACAGCACGCTCATGACTATACCTACGCCCGCGCCCAACATGCTCACTACGACTGCTGCTCTGACGCCAGGCGCGACAGGCCTTTCGGCGGCGACGCCTGTGACTTCCAACCCAATGATTGGTGGTGGTGGTGTCAACTACGGCGACGCCAACTTTGACTTTTTCGATCCTCAGCATTGGATGCTGGACGGCCTTTTGGATTTCAACTATTCATTTGTGCCTCCTCTTGAAGGTGCTTAGGAATGCACAGGCCCAGAGACGCCGCCGCAATACCAATAGCGGATGATGTGCTAGAACTATTAGTCTCTGATATGAGACCACAGTGTATCTTTTTTTGTCTTTTTTTTTTTTCGTTGTGATTGGGCCCAGGTTTTCAATTGTTCTTTTGTATCTGATTTGGAGCATTGTTTTTTTGTTGTTGTTGTTTTCTCCCAGGTTGAACGGTCTTTGCAATTATTTGTCTACTTTCCATGATCAACGACATGGTATATCTCTAATCAGGCGACTCACGCGCCCACGACGGTCGGTTTATCAAGCGTACCGCATACGAAAAGGAGGGTGGTACTGGATGAGGAAAAGCATCTTTCTCCTCGACGATTTTATAAATTTCGTGGCATCGAATTACACAAATGCGGCTACAGGAGAGCAGCATTGCGAGATTGTTAGTTTAGCTGGTTTATCGATGAAACCCCCCCATCTCTCTCACCTTGCTCAGGTGTTTGGAAACGCTGCCGCTGTGTTCAGTCTTGTCGCATTGAGTTTGTTATACCCAATTCTCTTACTCGCCGACGTTGTCGTTTTTTGCCTTTGCCGCAGCCGTTCCATAGCACCGGAAGAGATGAGGCTCTAGAGCGGTGGCCAAGGTGACTCGCATCGCTTCTGTGCGTTTACCAATCTTGAACGATTGCAATCAGCCATCTAGCTCCCCGATATACGTTTATCCATTCCCGATTTATCAATGTTCCCATCTTCTCTGTTTCAAACTCGCTACTCCTTTGTTCGACATGCTTTTGGCCATTTTGGGCAAAATGTAGGTATAGTTGGTTAAGATAGCAATAAATAAAAATACCAATAAAAACAAGTTAATGCCACAAGAGTAAAACCCGGCTGACTTGTCGAGGATTTCGGGTTTCAAAGACTTTGCTTCTGCGGGTGAGGTCTTGCTTACCCGGTTGGTCGTGTGAGCCCACGGCGAGCAGTGTCGCAGGAATCTTGCCATTCAAAACAAGGCGGCAATAAAGGATTACCAGAAACAGACATTAGAGTTCCTATTCACTATCCAAAAAGATCCGTAAAACATGAAACGTAACAAGACCACACCTGCACGGTCGCTTTGTGTAAAATATACATGTGAGAGCCCCCCAGCCAGCACGTATCCTCTACATGTCCTTTGACCGAGGGCGACTTACTAAGGCGCACACCCACCAC